TCGCGCATGTTCAAATGAATTGGTGAAAAAAAAATTATGTTCACGCGCCGCGCGGAACTCTCGGGGTGAGGCCTATTTTTCGTGCGTCTTACTCCCAGAGTTCTGTTCGGCGTGCTATCATCAATTTTTATTTCACTATTTTTTTTTTTACTCGCGCGAGGGACTTTGCCGAAAGCAGGGACTGCTCGCAGTCTGCTCATCAAGGCAATAAATTAACTTGTTTTTTTTTTGTGGATCAAGCTTGTTGCACCCAAACGTAAACGTCTAAAGGAAGCGGAATCCCTCCTGGCTCAGCAGATGTCTCACTTAAATGAGAAACGAGGCGAGTTGAAAGAAGTCATGGATAAATTACAGAACTTGAACGATGACTACCGATCAAAAGTGAACAAGAAACAGGTAAGATGGAGCGAATTAAATTGAAAATTGGACGTAAAATCTGAAGATTTAGCATCTAGCAGTAAATTTCTCTTCATAGTACCAACAGTGTTAAGGACACAGGTGCGGGGAATTGAAAATGTTATCACTATGGAAATATGAGAGGCATTTCTTTGCGTTTGTGGTTGAGTTGTTTGAAGCTCGTTGGTTCAACTTCTTTGCGGAGTGCCTCAACTGATTTTTTTTTTTCCGAGGTTACTTGTGTCAACGACTGAGAACATCATCTTTCGCATTGAAGAGTAAGGCTACAAACAGGTATCTTTGCCTCATGAGAAAATAGTAAAAACTTAATGGCACCTTTTTTTATCTCCTCAGGAACTGGAACGAAACATTGCATTGTGTTCCCAGAAGCTTCTGCGAGCCGACAAACTTATTAGTGGACTGGGCGGAGAAAGGACGCGATGGACTCAGGTCAGTTGTAGTGCGATGGGTGGTTTCGAGTCGAAATTAATTCAGTTTGATTAAAATGGCGATTTTAAGAAGATGACATATGACTTTCTCTGTTAATCTGAACAATAAGTGACTTGGCTGTGAGAAAATTGTCGGGGATGCACTCCAAGTAAAACTGAATCGACTCTTTTTCAAAATTTTCCTGAAATTATTCGATTTATTATTTAAATTTATCTTATTAAAAATTATTTAGCTCGCTCTCTTGTCCAATTTGATTTTATTCGAGAGCCATGTTGTGATCTAATGTCTCTCTCTAATGTCGCCGCAGAGAGGTAGCCTCGTTGCAAAGCGAAATTCAAAATGGCGACGTCCTTTAGTCGAATTTTAGCAAAACCCGGGAAGTTGTAAATTTTCGTTATACGTTCTGATCGCAATGTTTAAGATAATGGTTTTTGTATCATACTTGTCCTTTTAAGACGATGTTTTTTTTTTTTTTCAGGTTGCTCATGAGCTGGGTGAAACGTACAACAACATCGTTGGCGACGTCCTGTTGTCCGCGGGTATTGTGGCTTATCTCGGCCCATTCACTGTGGAATTTCGACAGGTAGACCTTAGATTTTAATAAAACGTACCCCCCCCTCCCCTCCTCCTATAAGCTTACCTCTTTGAAAGTTGGGATCAATGTCGGTATCTTAGCAACTGAGCACCTACCCCTCCCTTAAACCAGAGTTAACCATAACTTGTTATTACTGTGACTATGTTGGGCCAGGGGAGGGGTAAGTGCGCTGGTTCTCAGATACTTGCATTGAAACATGATTTCTCCGTCTAGAACTTCAAATTCACATTGAGCCCTCCCTTATGGAAATGTTTAGAGCTTTAAAGTTAAGTTCGTGAATGGTTATTGTAACCAATATCAACATTCCTTTGACGAAAGGCGAACGCTCGAAACGCTAGCTTTAGTGGTCAATTAAAATTATTAACTAAATTGGTAAAACAAATTATTTTGTAGTGCCCCCTTCCAACGTAGCACCACAGTTTCTTTAGAAACTTACCCCCTTTAACCAATATCATGGCTTGTTTTAGGAATGTATCAAGGAGTGGTGGGGTTTGTGCCGACAGCAGAGCGTTCCTGTGTCAGACAACTTTTCGTTGTCTGCGACTCTGGGAGATCCTCTATCAACACGCGCTTGGCATATCGCTGGACTGCCAGTTGACAAGTAAGTAATTCTCCCTTCAAGTTGTTCAATGCTTTTCCTTGTGAAAAACTTGAGAGAATTGATGTTATATCACAACGACACCGTGGTCCAGCTGGTATGTTTGCCTACTCTCCTGATTGCTGGATAATGCGTTGAAATTGTTAGGAAAAGTTAAACATCGTTCACATACGGGAATTAGATGGGGGCTACTAAGGAGAGTATATAATG